ACTTGTCTGATGAATTATTTTAATTAATGAGTTTGAGAAAGATATTTTCTGGAATAACCCATTTCACAACTAAATGTTCCGTCTTGCATTCCTTACCAGTATTCTGTTTTTGCGCACCCCTGATGTGATGTACGCTGCATGAGGCCCAGTCCAGCCCCACCAACAAAGACAGCGTCCATTACTCTGACATGATCCCTGGCCTCCTGTGCATTTGGGGTCACATGGAGCAGCTGGTTGTTAAGAATTAAAATACAAAAAATTGCTCAGTGTATATAGCATCAAGTTTCAGGCTGATTACTTTTGTGATACATAAGCATAACATTACTCTCATTAACAGTCCACATCAGACAAGGCAATGTTTACTGACAAAAACAAATAAACACCACGACTGAAAATAATAAGTTAGAATTTATTTAAAAGTATTCTTGATTGTTGAAATACAGTGGGACCCTGCCTTAGGGTCACCTCATTAATATGTTGACCTCATGTTAACTACAGCCAGTCTTTTTTGTCCCAGCAAAATGCCCATGCATTTTCTTATAAGAAAACCCTGTTAATCTGGCCACCCTGTGCATTAATTTTCTCTGCATTTGATTGGCTGTGATATCAATCCTGCAACAATCATCTCTCAGTCACAACAATCTATGTAAGCTAAGAAACTATGAAAATTTGTACCAAAAATTGAAAGAGTACAAGGCTGTGGTCTAAGGAAAATTACAAGGAGCACAAGGGTTCCTAACCATGAAATCCTGGGTGGCCAGCTCTAAATATAAGCTTAATATATGAAAATAGTAAGTTAAATTTCCAGTCGCCCAAAGGCAAAAGTTTGTTGCCTGTGGCACCCAGGCACCTCTAGAACACAACACTGCAGTGACTTCAAAGCATCTTAATGCTTCATGCATTATATGATAAGCAGCATTTCCCGCCAAAAATACAGATTGTTCCTCTTTTTCAAATTATGCCCCTAATTTAGGTTTCAAGTGCTGAGCCCACTGGGAGATTCATGAGCTGGGTTCTGAAAGATTAAGATTACCAGAGTATCTTTTACAATTTTGTTTTTACAAATATTAAGGTCACATGACTAGAACCTTGCTCTGATAAGCTTTAGTTAGCACCCCTCCCGCCCCCCCC